CGCAGCGTATCACCATGTTCCGCATCCGTGAGTCTCTGCGGACGAATGCAGACGTGCAGAAAGCATTTTTTGATACTTGCCTGGACTTGGCAAAGGTCGCGGAAAGTCAGGGTAATTTCTCAGTGGCTACCCGAGCGTTGAGACCTCTTGAGTTGCATCAAAATTTGTCCACAAATCTGAAGAACCAACTGCTGTATCAAGAATCACTCTTGACGTGGATGAAAGGCGAGCAAGTAATAGCGCGTCATCTGTTACGGAGCCTAATCGAGAAGAAGGATCCAAAACCAAGTCTAAAAGCTAAGGCTCTGCGAGTTTATGGTGATTGGATGGCGGAAACTAAATCCGAAAATCCTCAGGCAGTAATACAAAAGTATTACTTAGCGTCCATTGAGATCAGCGAAGCTATCGACGAGCAAACATCCGATGTTGTCGAAAATTTACATGACACACAGGTAGGAGGATAAATATATACAAAGTATCGGTATTGAAAAATTGCATGCAACTACAGTATAAATCGACTTACATTATTACCTATAAGAATTCAAGTAAAGAAATATAGAGACAAAATTTATAGACTCCTTAAATTAATATAATGAAAATATAACAAGCAAAATACAAATAGGCATTAGGAGTCAACGGTGGATTATATTGCGCAATGCTAACTAATAACTGTTATATATATAATATAATAATATATATAATAATTTTATATAATAATTTGTTATATATATAATATATAACAAATTCAATTTGTACGTTTTGGCTCACTTTTTGAGCCATAAAGCAATAAAAAATTACCGCTTATTGCACTATAAAATCTGTCGAACTGCGTCTCGAACAATCATAGTTCTGACCTCCAATATGAAGATTACTATAATTTGTGTAATTAATGCTAGCCAGAAACTCACCCCATCTCTAACAACGATCCATGCATGCGGATCCAAGCATCGTCAATCCATTAAAAAATCACAATGTCAAAGTTAGATTAAAAAATAATTTAAGTAACATAAAAGAGAATCATGTTCATATTGATGTTAGTAACATAATAATTGTTGAATACAAAAAGAGATGTGTCGCGCAAACAAAGCATATCGGTTAATGATAAAACTAAACATATAACTTGTTGAGAATTTTTATGTAACCATTTAATGCCTCAGTGTCAGTTTGCATATTAAGATCATTGGATTTAGAGCATCTCCGACATATATATCCGACATATAATTTGCTTATTATAATTTCTCTCAGAATTCTCACATTCAAAGTCATGATTGCAATTCACTATAATCTGTGATAACTGAACGAGTGTTGATTCCTAACGCTCATTTATATTTTGCTGTTATATATTCATTGTATTATCTATAAGTTTTATTTTCTCTTCATTTTTTAAATTTGCATTTACTATTGTCTATTTTTATACTTCCGAAAATTTTAAACTCCGTTCTATTGAAATTATCAACATTACAAATGTATTTTTGAAGTTATTCTACTTAAATTTTCAGTTTTATTTTTGTTTTGTGTGCATTTATCTTCTCAATTAATTAACTCAGTAGAAAGAATTTTATTTATTTTGGTATATTTTATGTTTTTCATTATAGGCTGCACTGGCGCGTTTTGCTGATACACAATACCAACAAATCAGCACGTACATGAATTCGCCAACATATGAAGCACTGAAGGAATACGCTTGTAGCAGTACAGATAAAGTAGACCACGCGAAGATGATGAGCAATCAGTACTTCAAGCGCGCCGTGATAATCAGTCAAAAGCAATCGACGAATGACGCGGCCGAGCTGAAGAACATCGAACAGGAGAAGCGTAATTATCTCGCGCAAGCTTTGAAATACTATCTAAGGACGCTGCGCAGCAGTGAGAAGTACAACCTGCTAATCTTCCGACTGGTGGCACTCTGGCTAGACAATATGTGCGACGATGAGGTGAACGAGCAACTACTGGACGAGCTGGATACTATACCCTCGTTCAAGTTTGTGCCGCTGGTGCCTCAGTTGGCTGCTCACATAAGCAATGATATCAGACAGCAGTATGGCTTCTCCGCACGAATCTTCCGGATCCTCGAACGATGCATTCTGGAACATCCATATCACACATTGCCTGTGGTTCTGGCGCTGAAGAACTTGCACAGCGACGACGAGTACGAATCGGATTCGACAGGTGCGAAGAAGGAAGAGTGTCGCGTATTAGGCGCCAAGAAGCTTCTTAGCCGGTTAGCTGACTCTTCCGTGCGAACAATCATTCACGAAATGGAAAACTTATCGCGGGCATTGTTGAGTCTTGCCTATTGGCAACCCAAGGGCAAGTGCTATTCCAATAGACGCTATGCGATACCACGAGAGCAGCCAATATCCAAGGTATTTTTTAAATTATTGTTTAGACACTTGAACAACATTCTTATAGAACACACTGCTGAAGTTGTTCACATTGATTTTGGTGTGGCTTTTGAACAGGGCAAGATCCTATCCGTTCAAATTATTTACACTGCTTTCGAAAAGCAGTATAAATAATTTAAGCTCTGAAGAATATAAATCAAAAGAATATAAAAATTCTTTGGGAAGAATAATAACTATAGATCACGATGCAAAATCTGATTCCATATCTAATCGATTCCAATCGATTTTGTAGATCAAGAACTTGGACAATGTTCTTCTACCAACTATGAGTCTACCTGTGAGACCGTCGGGCAATTACGACGACATAGTCGGCGTAAGGTCATATCAGGATTCCTGCGAATTCGTCGGTGGCGTGAACATGCCTAAAAAGATTATCTGCATCGGCACCAATGGCGTGCAACGCCGGCAATTGGTCAAGGGGAAAGATGACCTTCGGCAGGACGCAGTGATGCAACAAGTGTTCACTGTGATGAATACTCTGCTGTGCACGTGTAAGGAGACGCAACGGCGGAATCTACGTATCAGAACGTACAAAGTAGTGCCGCTGACGCAGAGATCGGGCGTACTAGAGTGGTGCGACAACACGGTACCCATCACGGTAACCTTGGTAGGCAGTTCTGACAAGCCAGGTATGCACAAGAAATATTATCCGCGTGGCCTGTCTGCGGAAGCGGCAAGAGATAAGATGAAGAACGTCGCGCAAGAATCAAACGAGGTAAATGATAGCTAAAAATTTCTCCGTTATTCCCAATCCATTACTAATTATGCTAGGCTTTTATCAAAATATAAATTTTATTTACAATATATTTTGTAAAATATAATTTTAATAAACATTTTTCTTAAATCTTTTGATTTAATATTTACTTTAACGTTTGAAAGTTCAATATTTTTAAAGAGATTAAGGGCCGGTTGTTCTATCTTTATCTTTATAAATGGTAATTTACTTATTGGATAAACAAAAGAGTAAAAGAGTAAAACATAAGAGAGTAAGAGAGTAAGATAGTGAGCTGAAAGGTTTTACCGAATTGTATAAATATAATTTTAACATTAATAATTTCTCTAAGAAAGTATTAATATTTTAATTAAAATTTTATTATAATTACAGATTAAAGTTGAACTTTTAGATATCAATTTTCGAAATTTTATTTTTGAACCTTTAGCTCTTTATCTTTTATCGATCTTTCCGTCTGTATAGATGAAATTGAGAGTCTTTCTTGATTGCTGCAAACGTATGAAGCCAGCGTTCCATCATTTTTTCGAGGAGAAGTATCGATCACCTGAAACCTGGGTCGAGAGGACTCTTACATACACACGCAGCGTCGCCACCACGTCTATCGCGGGTTACATTCTGGGCCTCGGCGACAGACATCTGAGCAACATCCTTATAGACGAACACACCGCTGAAGTTGTTCACATTGATTTTGGTGTAGCTTTTGAACAGGGCAAGGTCTTACCCGTTCCCGAGACAATTCCTTTTAGGTGATATTATCGTACGAATTAATTCGCCTTCGAAAAGCATTAAAGGATTATTTTATACCTAATAATAAGTTAAATGAGACCGTAATGCGAATAATACAAATAAGTAAGAAGCGCCAAATTCAGTCAGTTCTTTTCAGATTTTGGTGCCTAATAATATTTCTATGTAATTTTAAGATGGTTAAGAGCATGTTTATTGAATTGATGGTCAATACAGATTGTGTTATTTCAGTTTGAATTTATATTATTGACTGCGTTTCAAGTACGTAATCGGCGCGTAGTTCATTTACCTGAAAGATGTATTTAAATTTTACATAGAAATGTTAGACATCAGCTTTGACCGTATTTGACGCTTCTTATATCCGTTTCTACTAGTGTAAATTAACTAATCTCGGCTCAATTTATACTCTTTATCATTTTTTAATTTTTAGAACTAGAAAAAGATGAAGAATGATGTTGTACCAAGATTAGTTAATCTATATTGGTAGAAATTATTTAAATTATTTTATTAGAAATCAAATATCCCAAATCAAATATGAGGTTCTAATCTGTCTAATCTTCTCAAAATTTATAATTTTTTTCATTCAAATCGTCCTTATTAACTCGTTGTCCACTTCATTGTAGATTAACCAGGGATATCGAAGTCGCCATGGGTGCCTCGGGCATCGAGGGTACTATGAGGCGTAGTTGCGAAGTGACTATGACAATGCTGCGCGATCAGAGGCAGATTATCATCACTCTCCTTCAGGTTTTGCTATACGATCCACTCTTCACGTGGGCGATCACGCCGGAGAAGGCCTGCAAGATGCAGAGCGATGTAGTAAAGCGTTTCTCAGAAAATAGTGGACGAGGTAAGAGGAATTAATCACGGTTGAAAAAGCAATGAATTAACTCGCAAGACTATCTTAATTAATTATGACGCGAATTAATCCATTAAGTTTTACTTTCTTTAGCACGTGTAGAAACTAACACGATTGCCAAGAGAGCTCTTTTGAGGATCGAACAGAAGTTGCAAGGCACCGAGGATGGTCTGGTGTCCAGTGTTCCCGGACAGGTCGAGAGACTTCTGCAGGAAGCGCGAGATCCTGCGAATCTATGCCGAGTTTACTGTGGCTGGCAACCATATTTGTGAATACCCGGTGAATCGTTCATAGTGTTCATATCCAGTGGATACATCTAGGATAAGTTTTATATGTTATATGTTAATTTATAATGTACATCGAAAGTACCTTTTGTATCGTATTAAATTTTTTATCTTTCATAAAATTTTATCAATGTCCAAGTGTACTCATTTATATTGCAGCGCTTCGGCAAATCGATGTATCGATATATCGCCTTCCCGAATGTAATTTTCCTGCATTCCTGTATTCTGTATCTCGCGCATTCGAAATTTTAAATTCAAATTTTGAACTGAAGTAGGTGAATCTCGAGAAGAGACTGAGTGCAGAAAAGGCGTTATTAAAATTATCAAACGAGAAGCAAATATGAAAAGGACAACGGATGAAAATGAAGCTCCGAGAAACTTTGTCATTCCAGACATACCTGACATTTTCCGAACTTTTAAAGTTCTCTTTTGCGACCTAATAACAGTGTTCGCGTTATATTGATTTCAGAGTGCAAAGGCGTATCGATCTCTTTGATTGTTTATATTGTCAGCGAGAATGATTGTGACGTTGCGGCAACGAGTCGGGTGAGAGTCACACGCGAAGCAGATTAACTGCGATGAGATGACAAAGTCCACACCTCAGCGTTCTTATTTTTGTCATCGAAGAGGAGGAGTGTGCTTCGCTGGCGTTTGCGTCCCACATCCCACCGTGGGTGTAGATGTAGGCATGAGAGTTTATATGAAGATAACAAATCATAATAACTTTATTAAGGTACAAGTATATCTATATAGCACAGAGTAACAGTCGCTATGTTACTCCAAAATTGTTGGAACGTTGCAATGCTGGTACAATGTTGTTAAACATTGCAATATTGTTGGGACGTTACAATACTATTGTAATATTGTTGGAGCGTTGTGATGTTGCTACAATATTGTTGAAACATTCCAATGTTGCTAAAAGATCGCCGCAACATTGCTGGAATTCATGTACTATATGAACGATAAGAGCGATTATACAGACTGGAGCTGCACCTCGAGAGGCAGCAACGATAATTTTATAATTAGCTCAGATCTATATCATTAATAATAGTAATAATAATAATAAATCTTTATTGAATCATAAATATAAGAGTGATTACAAAAAACAGGAAGATCACAGACGGCTGCACCTGAAAAGGTGAGGCAACCGTGTGCCGCTAATGCTATAAGACCAGCTATAATGATAATAATAAAAGTGTAGGTGTAGGTGTGCGGCGTATGTAGCGCGCAACGTCGCCGTCACGTCTCCGCGACTCGTCATCGATTGCGCGCGCGCGCGGGGAATCGCTCGCTAAAGTTTCTCCGAATTACTCCGAAGAGGTAGGCCGTGTAGCCGTCACCGCCGCGCAAATCGCCTCCGTTCTCGCGGCCTGCAACGAAAGAGAGAGGTACGCGGGGGCTCTCGGTGATTTTCGAATCGAACAAGAGGGTGAGTGAGAGGGAGGGGAAGAGAAAGAGAGGAAAAAAAAAGAGTGGGAGGGAGAGAGAGAGAGAGAGATAGGTGCGAACGAGCGCGCGGGCGGGTCCTGCCGAAGCGTCGTCGCCTGTCACGTCTGCCGCGAGGATCATTCTTTAAGTAGACCTCGTAGTCCAGGATAAGGTCAGTCAGACACAACTGACACAGCCAGCCACTTATCAGCCGCCATCTTGCTGCTTGAGGAGAACGGTGACAGACGGAGCCTGTTTGTCGGAGCGAAGCGTGGTGAGAGAGGCGTGAGGAAGGAGGGGAAAGAGAGTAGGAGACAGATATAGGTAGACGACTCACGACGGTCCTTTCATGCGGTACGCGCCTATGCCATCCCGTCGCCAATGCCTCACTCCACGTACAATCGCAGCTGAGGATAGTTGGAGAACAGCCTAAGAAAAGGAGGAGGTGGTGGTGGTGGAGGAGGCAAAGAGGAGTATCGGCCGTGCCGATCGAGTGCTAGGTATACACGTATACACAACCACATACACGTACACGCACACACACAAAGGCGTGCGCACGCGCGCCTCCTTCGTCATCGCCGTCGTGACCGTCGCTTCCACTCGCAATGGCAATGGAGACGCCGAGGGAGCGAGAGATCGCCGCCGAGGACAGCATCAAGGTGGTCTGCAGGTTCCGGCCACTCAACGATTCCGAGGAGAAGGCCGGTTCCAAGTTCATCGTCAAGTTCCCGTCCGGCGGCGACGAGAACTGCATCTCCATCGGGGTACGTGGAGCGCTTCACGCCTACGTGAACGTGGACCATTCTTGGTTTCATCTATTCGGATCCTTTCTTGTTTTTCCGTTATTGTTGCATATATTGTATATAGATGTATGTTTATCTATATAGATGTGTACATAGATCCATAATGGGACTATGATTCATAACACACATGTTTCGAAAGATTCTCCAAATCCATTCTGCATTTAACTGTACCAGAAATAAGCGAAGAAGGTCGTACCTGAAAATGGGTTTTCGTTTAATGATATTTTTGTGAGAATAACTTTTTTCCCTGATTTCCAATAACAATATTTCATAATTTTTCCTGACATTCGATAATATTCAAAAATTTTTTGTATTTTATTTGATATACCTGATTTGATTTCCAGTTTTGTGCGACCCAACTGTAACGTCATAAATTGAATTGACAATGTAATAATACTGTTTTTAAATATTCTTAAAAAAAAACTTCTTAATTCACAAAATTGTATATTAAACATCAGAACTTGCTTTGACCGAATATGGTCTTCTTTGCTTATTTCTGTTGAACATTTTCACTTATTATCATTATTTAATTTATGTACCAGTTAGCAACTTTTATGTAGATTTACTTTAATCTGAGTTCACACACACAACTCTTCATCTTTTCCCAGTCTCAAAAATTAGAAAAAGGTAAATAAGTTGAACTGATTGAAATTAATCTGATAGAAATGTACTGAAAAAAAAGTCTAGTAATACTTATCAAATATTGAGTAAAATAGGCTGTGAAAGTCTCAAAAATATTATATAAAAAAATGTTACTTTTCTAAAGATTTAATAATTATTACTCCACAATTATTTGATTATTATGTTGGATACTTACTAAATATTTAGAAAAGTAATATTTTTTATTATATTAACCGAATATTTAATTGAAATTATTTCACTGAACTGATTATTACTGGATTCTTTTTTCATTGTAGCATCAGGAATTCAAATGATGAAAAATATGTACGTACGATAAATGCAACAGTAACTCTATGAAATTTAATACGTTTCGTGTTATTGAAATTTTGCATGTATTTTCTTCTAGATTCTAGAATGTATAATAAAGTGTATTACTAGAAAATTTATTATGGTTATGGCAATAAGAGGATTTATCTTTATTGAAGGCTTAGCGTTTTCGAAACATGAATTTTTTGTTATATAATGTATCAATTGTAGGGCAAAGTATACCTCTTTGACAAAGTATTTAAACCGAATGCTACACAAGACAAAGTCTACAATGAAGCTGCAAAATCTATCGTCACGGATGTTTTGGCAGGATATAACGGAACCATTTTTGCATATGGTCAAACATCGTCAGGTAAAATTTATTCAAAATAATTATTATAGAACAAGGTATTTGTTATATGTGTATCTAGAAAAACTTAGCAAAATAGTGTTTTTCACTGGCAAAGTGCTGGTGCTCACTCAGTGCACTTTAAAGCCGTTGTAAATTGACACAATAAATCGACGATAAAGATGTACGTTTAATAAAAATATAGAAACGAATTAAATCACGAATCCTCAATTTTATTTGTGCTATTTACATTTTATTAATTGAGATATCTACTTTTATATTCAAATTAGGTTAGTACAACAGCTTTAATATGCACTGAGTGCACAGTTCTGCCAGTGAAAAAAACACTATAAAATTCTCAAAATATTGTATTTTAGCAGAAAACTGTTGTCTCTTCAAAAATTTATAATATTTTCCATTGAGAAAACACATTAGTACAACACCAGTGCACACTGAATGCAAATCAATTCATATATTTTTAGGACCGTTTCATCAATACCAGTGATCTGTTCCTGCATTAGACTGCACAAGCACTCTCTTTCTCACTTTCACAAATATCAAATATATACCTATCTCACTTCAAGTTTCAAAAGTGTACACTAGTTCAGCCACAGAAAATAGACCTCAGTTAACTTAGGCTGCGTAACGCTCATACGTTGTCCTTGTTTAATATTTGATAAACAACAAGAATGAATAATTCCAGCGTTATGAGCGTTAAGTGGGACGCAGCCTTAATGGGTCGTTAATTAACCAATCGCATTTGCTATTTAGTAGAATTGACCAATTACGGTTGACAGTTAATTCCGATTAGAGTTAGTCGGTGTTGGTGAAATCAGCCCTTAGTGTTGATAAATAATTTAATCCTTTAATTATACTTTATTATCACGGTTACTTCATTATCTTAAAAGGATTGAATTATTTATTAACACTGTGAAAATAATATAAACCGATTTGCACTCAATTGCACCAAATTGGATCCGTTCAGCAAAAGCAGCTTTGCAAAATTCGTCGTAAAATTTTTTAAACCCGATTCTACATTAGTTGCAAGCTGATCGCAAGTTTGTTGCGACAGTCAATTTGAATCTTGCATTTTGAAATCAACGCTTCATATTGGCTGTCGCAATAAACTTGCTATATAATGTACAACCCGCTTAACATGATTGGTTTGCTCTTAGTTCCTCACTGAATCTAAACCAATCATATTAAACCAATTCTACATTAGTTGCAAGCCAATCTCAAGTTTGTTGCGACAGCCAATTTGAAGCTTGCATTTTGAAATCAATACTGTATATTGATTGTCACAACAAACTTGCGATCAGCTTGCAACTAATATAGAACCGACTTTAAAGAACCTTTCAACTTTTCAAGTTGTAAAAAAAGTTTCGGTTTTACTGAACGCGGTAACTGTTAAGTCCGCTGAATGCGCCAATTGTTGTAGGTACTTATCCCAGAGAACGCAATTAGTTTATTTCGCGAGTATTACACGAGTTTTGTCCGAAATTTCTAGTTTTGCTTAAATCATTGGATTCTACCTTTAGCTAAAACTGCTTCAATTTTGAGAAACAAAAGTATGGAGAATATCTGAGAAATTAAGGAATTTTTTTCAATTTGAGATATTTTGTAGAATAAAAATCATAGTTTATGCTTTATATTTAAATACGTCATATAAAACACAGGTAAAACGCACACAATGGAAGGAGTCATCGGCGATCCTAACAAACAGGGCATTATCCCGAGAATCGTCAATGACATCTTTAACCATATTTATGGTATGGAAGAGAACCTGGAATTCCATATCAAAGTATCTTACTTTGAGATTTACATGGATAAAATCAGGGATCTTCTTGATGGTAAGTCTTGGACTTTAGATTTATTTATTAACTACAATTTTCGTAAAATCAATACATCTCTCAAAATAAATCTCCAATTTTTATTTCAGTATCTAAGGTTAACTTAAGCGTACATGAAGACAAGAACCGGGTGCCGTTCGTGAAGGGCGCGACCGAGCGGTTTGTTTCTAGTCCTGAGGAGGTGTTCGAGGTGATAGAGGAGGGCAAGTCAAACCGGCACATCGCCGTGACCAACATGAACGAGCACAGCTCACGTTCTCATTCTGTTTTCCTCATAAACGTTAAACAAGAGAATTTGGAGAATCAAAAAAAGCTCTCCGGCAAGTTGTATCTCGTTGATTTAGCCGGTTCTGAAAAGGTAAATTTATATTTAAAAATAAGTTCTCCTTCTAGATTTCATTATTATTAATTATATTCCTATATTTCGTTAGGTTTCTAAAACCGGTGCAGAAGGAACGGTATTAGACGAAGCAAAGAACATCAACAAGTCTCTGTCTGCACTTGGTAACGTAATTTCGGCCTTGGCTGACGGCAATAAGACTCACATTCCTTATCGTGACTCAAAGCTAACGAGAATTCTGCAAGAATCCTTAGGTGGCAATGCCAGAACTACAATTATCATCTGTTGCTCTCCTGCTAGCTTTAACGAATCTGAAACAAAATCAACTTTAGATTTCGGTAGATCTATACTATATTTTTTTTTATGTAAATGTTGTGTACTTTGTTTTTCACAGATTTTATGAAATATGTTTATCACAGGAAAACGCGCTAAAACTATCAAGAACGTCGTGTGCGTGAACGAGGAGCTAACAGCCGAAGAATGGAAACGTCGCTACGAACGCGAGAAAGAGAAAGTGGCAAGATGGAAGGGCAAGGTGGACAAATTGGAGGCGGAATTGTCGCGTTGGCGGCAGGGTGAGACTGTCAAACCAGAAGAGCAGGTCAACTTGATTGAAGGACCTGATGTCACTACACCGATTAACGTATCTATTGAAGGTAGTATAAACGCGTGAAGACAGTATAAACGCATCCTGTCTTTTATATTAAAACGATAAGACGATTGATAGACAGATAGGCAAATAAAATAATTAATAAAATTCTTATCCGGTAAAAGCGCATGTATGTGGTAAAACATTTTTTTTACAAGATTATTTACTATTGATATTTTTTATTATTTTTATGATTTATTTCTTTGAAGTTTTATTATTTTACGTATTATTGTATCTTAAATTTGATGTTACAAGATTAGATATATTACTTTTGAAAATCATGGATTCACTATAAAAATCTCTGTTTTATAGGCAAGCTGGATGACAGTCCGATGCCTGCTACTCCCGGCGGTGGTCTCATGATCGGTTCCCTTTCGAACGAAGAGAGGCAGAAGCTCGAGGAGGAACGCGAG